AACATAATTGAGGAGTTTAAACCATAAACAATTCAATTGTGACAGACTAAAAATAGAACCTCAACGTTTCATAAATGTAGAAGAAATGCAGTGGAATCTGTAGCTCTTTTGTAGTCGTGACCACCAAATTTAGATAATAGTGGATGATATAGCCAGGTCGTCGTCGCCCATTGCCACTTCAGTTTTGCAATTCTTAGCTCGTAGGACAGATGGCCGTTGGGGCAGTAAAGTCCTCGAATGGCGACCGCGGACTGGAAGACGCAGCGTGGGAAGGCCTCCAACAAGGTGGACTGACGATCTGGTCAAGATCGCTGGAAGGCATTGGATGCGAGCAGCGCAGGACCGATCGTCGTGGAGATGGCAGCGTTTGTTCAGCAGTGGACGTGTCCCGAGCTGAGATGATGATTCTTATATATTAAAATAATGACAAACTATCATAAATCTAAAATATGCATGTGAGCACAGAGGATTTACAAAGATTACTTCGCTGAAAAGATTTTTGGTCATCTTTTTTAAGTTTACATCAATATGACAATTATATAAGGATTCATAAATAGTTCTCGACCGAAATAAATATATAAATAATTTCATAGTTAAATTATCTTCTCCAAAATCTTTACAAATAAAGTCTCCACTTAAAATATATTTTTTGCTTTAGTATCTATCTGTTTAATAACAGAAATATGTAACCTCGTCTACTTGTGAAAAATATTCCCAGGTTGTTTGTATGAAATTTTTTTTTCGGACTATCGGATGCTGTTGGTCGCAGTTACTCTACAGCTTCATCGGACGATAGGGAACGAATACAGATGGCACTCCATACCCGCGGAAGGACTTATGGAGCGGCTGAAAGCCAACTCCTGTGTGACGGATACGACTTGAGTCTGAGGGCATCGCTAGGGGTTTGAACCTCGGCTCAGGTCGTCCTAATTTCGACGTCGAATTTGAATTGGACGGGGGATCGATCGGAGGGGCAACCGAGGGCGCTGATGTGGAGCGCCCTACCCCGCGCAGTCTTCGAGACCTCCCGTAATGCATTTTTATTGTATAAGTTATTCTAACTTACTATATCCATATAACATTAATTATCATTGTAATTTGTATAGTTGCTGTTTTTCTTTTTATTTTATTTTTTAGTTTTGTTCTTTTTTTAAAGTTTGTTAAAGTTAGTAATTCGTGTTATGGCAATTGCGTAAGGTATTACAACAAAATACCAGAGTCTGTTATAAATCTGCCTGAAAAAAGATTTAAATGTCATATAAAATACTTCCTTTGCAAAAAAGCTTACTATAAAATTGAAGAATTCCTTAACGACAATAATGTTTTTATAGAAAATCTTAAAATCCATAGCACTGACAATATTATCTGATTACACTAATAATGAGTGCGTAGCGATTTATATGTTGATTATCGCATACCTCGTACTTGTTATACTGTAATTATTATATAAAAAAACATCTATTCAAAAGAGAACCCACAAGTTTCATGCTCATTCTTCTTGTGATGAATCTGCATTCCGAATGAGTGGTAGAATCAAAATATGACTATTCAAAAGTGCTTGTAATGAGTTTATTTGAATAAAGATCATTTCTATTTCTTTTATGACGTTATTGTTATTATAATTATTATTATTAATGTATGTATTGCATACGTTTATTCCTTGCTGAGTGCATTGGTATTGTACTGTAATACTCACCGAGAGCATGGAATTTAATAAATAAATAAATTAATTAATTAAAACAAGCAATTAAGTGACGATAAATTCTATGATTATTTGTGAGTTTATTGAGCAGTACTGTGACTGCGGTCAACATTTTGAACATTAAAAACATTTCGTATTTCTATTCAAATGTAATTAAGTATCGTCATTTACTTACTATTTACAATTCAATCACTGTAATATTCCATTAAATGTTGATAGGTCCGCCTATTAATTACGAAAGCCGGTGCGTGCCCTCTATTACGTACAAGGCATAATGTTTGACAACAAATTACATACACAACTAGTGTTGCCAGGTCCGATTTGTTAAATCGGTATATGAGGTCAAAAAAATCGAGATTTAGGATTGCAGATCGGGACAGTAAACGAAAAACAAGGGGTTTTTAAGTCTGCAACAGTCTGCTCGCTATAAAGTTCAAACTTGTGGCGGCGTGGTGGGTCAGGTCGATGTGTTCCCTCTAATATGGTTGAGTGCAATGATGGCTGGCTCATCCGTCATACTCGTGAACAAGTGCTGCTTGTAGGGACTGGTCTCTTCAGGTTGCGATCACTGTTTAGATTTTTTGATTTTTTTTTCAATAGCTAATGCTGGTGATCACTCTATTCTCCCAAATTTGAATTTAAATGAAATCGTATTATTGTAAATTTGTACAACATTTAAACAAAAAATACGAGCTGAGTTTCTTGTCAGTTCTTCTCATATCGAAATCATTCCGAACTGACGGTAGATTTGACATATCATTAGAGTATGTAATAGAACATGAATAAAGATATTTTCAATATTGAATTTTTTTAATTTTCTGCGTTTAATTTATTGCGTATTAAACTACTAGTGCAAGTATAGTACTATATTAATTACCTAAATAAAGTATGTATTTAATATTACATAACAACTAACAAGTAACCAGCCTAGTCTAGTCTAGTCTTAATCAGACATTTATCGTCCCGATCAGGTACAAATCGGGACGCGTCCCCAGACCCCTGAAAATCGGGACGTCCCGCGCAAATCGGGACACCTGGCAACACTGTACACAACCAATCATTTGTAAGTTTCACGTATTTACGTAGTATATATTTACGTCGCAGAAATATTTGTTGATAAATTACAGTTGTAGTGAAGCAAATATTATAAATTACCTAACTATTTACTTTTCAATTTACTATGAGCAAACATTTGCTAACGTTAATAATTCAGGTACTTAACTTTATTATTCTATTTATTTATTTATTTATTTCGGGACAACAACAGCTTATATTACTAATTTATAATTTACAATTTTATTAATCTTAGCCAAAATCCACGACATAATTAGAGACACATTCTAAAACAAAAGTAGCCTAAGTTACTCCTTATTACATCAGCTACCTGCCAATAAAAGTCCCATCAGAATCGGTCCAGCCATTTCAGAGATTAGCCGGAACAAACAGACAGACACGTTTCTCGTTATGGATGACTAGCTGTACTGGCGACTTCATCCACGTGGAATTTAACTTTATTTTTCTTAAATTAACAGAATTTTTCTAAAATAAAAGACAGATAGACAGACAAAAATTGTAAAAAATGTTATTTTACTATATTTATATTTATATGCATGTAGCAAATTTCAATATTACAAACAGACACTCCAATTTTGTTTATATGTATAGATTATGGTATGGTGCACTCGTCTGCTCTCTGGTTTACGCTGGCGGGACACCAGTGGAGGATAAATGGAACATGAAGTCAGGTCAGCCCATTTTGGCAAATGGCAATTTACCACGACGGTTTCCAGGGTATAGGACATTGTTGACTACATCCGGACTGAAAGCAACCTGACATTGAGGGTGACGCAGTTGGAATCGAGCCACAACGCGAGCTTCAAAGCGTTCGTGGCCCTGGTCCCCACCTACATGCTGCCCACCTTCATGAAGGAGGACTACTGGCCGAAGGGGGTGGTCTATCGGTACCGTGGCAGATTGCCGTCGTCAGTGCCGTGACCATAGAGACAATTTTATTTACATTTTTTATTATTATTTCTTATGTATGTTAGTCTATAAGGTATTTATAATATGGGCCATGTAGCCTGAATGAAATAAATAAATAAATAAATAGGGTTATTAGTCCACATTACTGACAATTCCCTTCCCCTCTATATCTGTCAGTCCATTCTTTAATTCCACCTGCTAAATATTTGTGATTAGTTTTGACAAATGAATTAACATGCGTGTATAATAATAATAATAATCTCAGGACAGTTCACACAGCGCCATCTAGACCCAAGCTAGCTAAAACTTGTGTTTTGGGTACTAGATACCTGATACATATATATATACATCATATATATTTTTGTATAATATGTATTATACATAGAAAACACCTAGACCGATACAAACAATCATACTCATGAATACAAATGTTTGTGCCGTGCGAATCGAACCCGCGACCATCGGTCGTAAACCGGTGTGCTAGATCGCTAGACCAGCGAGGTCGTCAAAAATTAATATCGTATAAAATAATGGACAGAAAATATATTGTTTGAACCTCTCATACAGAAAAGAAAGTATCACGAACTATTATCATAGTACTAGATTATATTATCTGTGGTACTAGTAGCAGCGACTACATCCATCAACATACAAATTAATACACACATATCTAGTATGCTTAGCAGCCGATATAAATACTATATTTATTTTACAAAAGAGAGCCATACGTTCTATTTATGGTATGGGTTCTAGAGAGTCTTTTATGCCATGATCCGGAAAAACCGTATCTTTATTCATCAAAAGTGCATAACGGTTTCTATGTTGATCGTCGCACGCCTAATCCTTGTTAATGTAAATATAATTAAATCAGTATTTATTTAAAAGAGCAACACACAAGTTTCTTGCTCATTCTTCTTGTGATGAGTCTGCATTACGAATGAGTGGTAGAATAAAAAAACTTGACTATTCTAAAGTAAGCACTTTTTAATAGTCAAGTTTTTTTATTATTTGAATAAAGGTTGTTATATTAAGTTTATTTGATTAAAGATGATTTCTATTTATATATTTTCTATTTCAGAATGCGCTATAGTTCCAACAGCATTCTGAAAACATTGATGAAAAAATTTTACCTACCATTTACACAATATTTTGTTAGTATACTTGTGAGGCAAAGATTATAACCACTGTTAGTATAGTGCTACTAAATATAATATAATAAAATTTGAATTTTACTAACATTAGATTTAAAATATGTAAATTACTAACAAATGGGCCATTGATGCCATAATAAACACATTTATTTTTATTATTATTACTAATGTTCTGATTCATGCCTAATTCGAAGTTTTACGACCACTATCTCTAAAACAAATACAGCTACAGACAAACATATACCAAACACGTATATGTACCACGGAATTATAAGGGACAAATGCAAAGGTTTCTGATGAAAGTAATGCATTAAGGTCTGCTCGTAATACAGATCATATGTGATCTTCGACAGGAGTCCACTCTCTCGCAAACGTAACGTAACCGTATGTAACCGTTCATACACTGGAAACCCCTTGTACAAGTAAACTGCAAATATAACCTTACTGATAGGCTTGGGGAAATAGTAAATCGATGGTGTCCCCCACGCATTATAAAACTCATGCTTGTAATACAAATATATGTTGCTTATAGTCAATGTGAATACACCTTCGTACTGACTAACCATGTTGATACTTTCCAAAAGATCATCACACCCATCTATTTCGTTCAAATACGGCTTCATCCCTTCGGCCAATTGAAACGTTTCTATAGCCGGACACACGCAAGCCTTCACGTTATAAGAACGTAAGTCTTCCTCCTTGGAAATCTGATAATCCTTCGCGGGATGCGTGCTCAAGCTGACAAGGCTCGACTGATAGTACGAGTTGACAAGAAACGCGAACCAAATCCACGAAATGAAGAAACATCTTATTGGAAACCTGCCATGTATCACGTGTCCGTGCTGAAAGAAACTGTCCCACATTTTTAACATTACCGAATGCTTGTCCTTTACTGAAAATAATGCAAAAAATAATATGGAATAAATTACAAACGCCAATGTAAGCAACATCCACACGGTGAACTCGAACTCCAAATACACGTTCTTCCAACTGGCCACGTCGGTCGCTCTCTTCACCATGATGCGAAGATCGTCTACGTATGCGAGATGCGACCAAATGTAGTCGAATGCATTCGCTCTAGACTCTATGAGCATCATTCCGCCTAAAATAATATCAACTTTGTTGAACTGCAGCAGCGCCAGAGGGCCCACAACCGACATGTCATCACTAACTGTAGTAAAATTTTCTGCATCATCACTGTAAACATATTGAACTTTAAAATGTTCCAATTCGCTGATGATCTGGAACATGTACTGTTCAATGCCCGTCAGCTTTGTTGTGTTCTTGTTGGGGTCGATGCTGTACGGTGGCCAGTGTGGTGCCCCGATAGTTATCGTGCAGTTACGGAGACCGGCGACCAGCTTGTTTGGGAATAAATTTGTGACCGCAGGCTGCCTGCACTTTCCGTATTGGATAATTCTGGCGTATTTTTTTCCACATCCGTTGTTTTCAAACGGATCGTAGGTGTACAGATCACAGTCGCCCGTCCCGTTCACGATCACAACATTTACAACGTGAAACTTTAAAAGAACATTGAATACATGTTCAAGTTTAGTGTCAAATGTGCTGATTATGATAAGAAACCTGGCGTAAGGGTTCCACTGCGGCTCTCGTGTGAAGTTAGTAAATTTCTCGACGAGCTCCTTGGCGTGTTTTGCAAAAATGACGTAGCCGACGTTTTGGACTGTCTTTAACCTCTTCGCTTGCGTCCTGGAAATGAGCGACACGTGCATATTGTTGTTGACTACCTGCAGCACTTGATTGTCGTCAGAATTTATATCAAAGTAGGTAATCTCTTCACCTTTTGCGAAATATTGTTCTGTGACGTTGACGATACAATCTAGCAAGTGTTGTTTATCTTGGTTAATATGAAGCATGTGGTCATTGGATGCAGAGCTACTGCTAATGAACATCAACACTGTGATCGACGCCAACATTTTGTACACTGTGCTTGTAAAACGTTTATGCTATTCATATGAACTGTAATTAAGAGTCATCATTAAGGTGCAAATCAATCATCGCCATATTCCATTAAATGTTGATACGTGTGTTACGATGGTGACCGACTCCGCACTAATTAAGTTCATGGGCTCACAAACAACTGATTGCACTCACCCAATAATTACATCTATAAAACACTCGATAAACTATTGTTAGATAACACAATATTAGAAATTTGTTTTAACTTCAGCTATACATACATACGTTTATGTTATAAAAAGTAATTATCTCCCCTACATAATTAAACGTATACAATACTTATATACCTATTCGTTGTTTTTATCCTTAAAGTGTTGTACCTACTTTATTTTTATTGAGTTGTTTGGTCTATTGTCAGGTGCATGGAGTTGTAGCACTGCGACCTACATAGATCTATTGTACTCACCCTTTTCAAAGTTCACTACCTAGACGCGTCAGGGACAAGAATTGAAGGATATTCTTAGGAGCGATGGTTTTTATCACCTTAGGAAAGTGTGTAAACTTTCCAGGAGATATTTAGTTTATGCAGAAGTGAGCTACAACCACATAGTGGGGTTTCCTCTTCAGATTGGCAAAATCTGCATATTTTTGTTGTGCATAGGACTAGGTTGGCCTGTAAGGTCCTAGTCATTATGCTATGTTGTTTTTACTCAATAGCAGTAGTTTATTCGTGTATTTGTTATAGTGTTGTACCTAACTTTTCTGACACCATTTCCCCTATTAAGAATACTAGAGATGAAAGATTGGAACTTATATTCTATTCAATTTTTATATTTTCTTCTTATCTCAAAGAATGCTTTTTTTATCCCTGGTCTTTCGCTCCTTTCTTAGTATATGTCATATAGATATTAAACCTTATTTCCACCAGATCTTAGTCTATCATTATCAATTCCTTTACTGTAATATTCGTTCTCTGAGACTATCCAAACTGAAAAGTCCATTGATTTTTTTTTGTCTTTTATTATTAATATATATTGTACATATAATTATTAAAATTATTTTACTTGACATTTTAAACATACTTTATCGTATGTATTGTTAAACTTATTATACAATTGTTAGGGTTCAAATGCATATAACATTATTACCCGTTAAACTACTCATATCTTCTCTGTATAAAAGGGAGGGTTTTTGTAGGCCGCGGCATTCGGTCTTTGAGCACAGGATGTGCTGGTTGTACTTTAATTGCTAATGTGAATTGTGTTAGAGACATAGTTAAATTAATGTTATATAGTTGTTATTTTATTATAATATATACTTTTACTAGTACATAGAGTTGATATATCTAACACAATGGAAATACCAGAAAGGATATTTTTTCTATCTATCAACTGTCACTATCACAATATAATTTCAAATACTTAGTCCGGCTAAACACGTTCAATTCACGGTGTTGCAGCTGCTCACTTACCATCAGCTGAGCCGTATGTTTGGTCCATACACTATAAAAACATGCACATAGGTACATATCTATATATGTCCAAATACTGCTCGTAACAATGTGGTGGGGGAATGAGCGACGTGTGGGAACTCGAGTCGTGTAGTAAAGGAACTTGTAAATGATTACACAAAACGATATCAGTCAGTCACTTTAATAAATAACGTCAGGTAAAAAAATCACAATATTTCCGACAGCTTTACATAATTATGATGACAATGTACAAGCCACCTATAAATTACACTGGTCAACACAAGTTTTGTTTCCTTCATTTTTTCTGTTTTCGAGTATTTTAAGGCTCGAGTATGGAGACAATACTGAGAGTTTGCTGATAGCTTACATTTTATATATCTATGTACAGTTTTATCATTTTGACGAAAAATATCCGAGTTCCACGTAAATATTCGATATTTTACACATACCTACACACTTACCGCAAATATAGCAGAAATAATCGTAATTAATTACACAACATCTTATCCCCTCCGATCGATCCCCATCCAATTCAAACGGGGATCGATATTACGACAGCCTTAGCCGAGGCTTGAACCCTTAGAGGTGCCCTCAGACTAAAGACGTATCGGTCAGGCGGGAGTTGGCCTTCAGCCGCTCCATAAGTCCTTCCTTTGGTTTGGAGCGCCATCTGCACTCGCCCCCTATCGTCCGGTGGAGCTGTAAAGGCCAGCTGCATTAGAGTAGTCCGAAAAAAAACAACATGTTATTGACGAAGCCATATCGAAAACAACAATATATATTTCAGTGTTCAATAAAAAATCTCATTTACTAAGTTGAACATAGTAAATGTGGGAAGTTAGCTGTAACTCAAAAACAAGCGCTGTATGAGAAAATGTTTCTATATACAAAGAATTAACGTTAATTCGAGAAACAGAAAAAATCGAAAGAAACAAACATTTTGTGTTCTATTGGCCAGTGTTATTATACCTTATGATATAATCAGTTTATGAGATAAATAACTATTACTAAAACGAACATATAGCAGGCACAGTTTCGATACTACCATTACTAACATTAAACCGCGTCTTAAAATTGCATATATACTTACTATATACATAAATTATATAAAAGAAAATATTGTATTTATTATTATTATATTAAGAGTTACCGCAGGATATAGTTAATTGAAAATAAATTACGCTGCAACATATAATATACTAGCTGTTCCCGCGACTTCGTCCGCGTGGTATTTAACTTTATTTTTCTAAAATAAAAGTAGCCTAAGCTACCCCATATTACATCAGCTACCAGCTAAAAAAAGTCCCGTCAAAATCTGTCCAGCCATTTTAGAGATTAGCCGAAACAAATAGACAGACAGACAGACAGACAGATAGACAAAAATTGTAAAAAATGTTATTTTGGTCTATATACCGTGTTTATATTCATATGCATGTAATATAAAACGGATATTTCAATATTACAAACAGACACTCCAATTTTATTTATATGTATAGATGTATAGATATGTATATATGTTTTTCCCTTGTATCACTTAAAATACTTATTTCAAACGGGTTAGTACCCGTTACCTGCCCCCCTCATAATGTGTTAAATTTCTCTCTAACGAGTGACTTGATTATAAAGATGTCTTCTAGTTGGATTGTTACTCTTTAAAACGCGATTTTATGTGCTAATATATATATATATAAAATAGCATATTATGACCGTCAATAACATATAGTTCAATTTAGAGGCAATTTATATGTATCCGGCTCATATAGGACCAAAAAATTACCCGTAACCGACGAACTTGTATCAATAGATAGATCAATGTAAGAAACAGGTATATATAAATTGGAGTATTTGGTGTACCATTGTATCTACCTCAACGAGAGACAGGCGTAAAGATATGTATGTATACAGACTGGCATATACAATGGACAAATAATAATTATCATTACATAGTATAAAATAAAGTCGCTGTCGTTGTCTGTCCGTCCCTATGTATGCTTAAATCTTTAAAACTACGCAACAGATTTTGAAGCGGTTTTATTTAATAGATAGAGTGATTCAAGAGGAAGGTTTATATATTTAATACATGTACACCCGTGCGAAGCCGGGGCGAGTAGTTAGATAATAAAACATCTCAGTAAATTACGGTTATGGAATAATAATTAGGTAACAATAGCAGTAGCATATTCAAAATATAAAAATAACTTGACTTTATATTCTAAGGCTGAATTTCACCAATCGTAGTATTAACAAGTTCAAGGAAACTAAGTTCAGCGTGAGCTCAAAAATCATCGACATTGATCTCGTTTTAGTTTAAATGGAATTCACCAGCGTTATATAGATCGCGTTTATCAAAACGAAGTTTAGATTTTCATTCGTTCACAGTGTTACACGCTCATAAAAATAATATTTGATGCAATGGGTAATTTAAATAAAATAATTCTAAGAAATATTTGTAATTCAGTCATGTGATAATTAGGATAAGTTTTTTAGTTTTTAATTTAATAAGTACCGTTGACTACAAAATATATAACAACAACCATTATCTATAAAAAGGTAAAACATTATTTTATTGAGGATATTTTCTACACTACTGGCAATTTTCTTTTTATTTCCGATATTATATTGTCAAAATTTTGATTGATGACTATTTGACAGGTCACAGCTGCTTTAAACACGTTTAAAGAGTTAACCGTAGGAAATAGGACGTTCAGAATTTATAAACGTGTTTATAGAAATTTGTAGTGGTGAAATGCAAAATGAAGCTTTGAACGTTTAAACGTTTTAATCTTGTTCAGTTCGAACTAAACGCGATCAGTTTCTTTGGTGAAATCCAGCCTAATATATATTAAACTCTGTTGGTATTTCTGTCGGGTTGTAGCATATAAAACAGTGATAGTAAGGTAGACAATACACAGTTGCACAATGTGTTTGTTGCTAGTAGTAACCAGTAATACCAATCTACCACCGACATACCCTTCATTGTAGAAGGTTTTTCACAACACTTGATCGAGTTAATAATTATTACACATTTGACTATAGTACTAGTATAACACCTCTAAAAGAACATATAACAATCCCATAAATTTCAGAGTTGTCCAAAATAGAGCTGCAAATTCAGAAATATTGTGGAGAATTTGAAACCGTGCAAATAAACACCTTCAATATGCGTGATATTTGACTTTATTTTTCTAAAATAAAAGTAGCCTAAGTTACTCCTTATTACATCAGCTACCTGCCAATAAATGTCCCGTCAAAATCGGTCCAGCCATTTCAGAGATTAGCCGGAACGAACAGACAGACAAAACAGAACACTGCAATTTTATTTATATGTATAGATGTATCTAGACAGGCGGTAGCGTGTCAAAGCCCATTATATATTACAACACGCAGCGCAAAATTCTTTGAGAACATATAAAAATTAAATTAAGCTGCATGCGTGATGTGACCCTGTTTAATCCGACACCAGGTGTGTATAAGTTACGTTGCAACTAACAATTTAAAACAAATACCCATCACACCCCAAAATAATCAGTAACAAACACACTGATTTATATATCTGTAACCGATCTCAACATGATGATTAGTGATAATCGCCCATATATATATATATATACAGGATGTCCCAGAACTCAACGTCAAGCCGAAACTTTAGCTTGACGAAAAAGAAGAATCTAGAAATAGAAAAATCAGAAAAGAAATCTATCCCCTGCAGTTTGAAAATTATGGACATTTGAGAAAAACGTAGAAATTTGGTCAAACTGTAACCATTTTTCGGTTATTGTGGTTAATTTTTATTATTTTTCTTAATTTGAACTTTGGAACCGTAACTCTAAAATAACATTTCTAGTCTCTACTCGTAAACTAAAATAACATTTCTAGAATCACAGTCAAAAATAATGACACAATTGACCCAAGTTTTTTAGAATTAAGACTATTTGTTAAACTATGAATTTAAAATTATCAAAACTTACCGTATTTGAAAGGCTCTCCTTTAAAAAAAATTACTAAAGTGCCTTGGCAAATGCCTTTAAAAGATCGCATAATTTTCAAACTTTCTATTTTTTCTGATTTTTCTCATGATGGTTACAATGAATACTATTACCCCGTTTCGACTTGACGTTGACTTCTGGGACACCCTGTATAAAGAACAGCACGGATATCACGTTATCATATGATACCGTGATACTCATGTCTTGTCATTCCAGATGACTACGGTCATGCCTCCGTACAACCAGAACACATCTTAAAAAGCAAGCTGATACCAAAGTACACGATCATATAAAGCAAACTGCTTGTCAATAAGTCAGAATATACATTTCGGTACCCCTTCTGCCGAACCCTATATAAAAAATTAATAAAAGAGCGTGATACCTATATGTACTTACACGGTCATTTGTTAACTATTTCTAAACATCCTTCCTTGTAGTTAAGATTCATAACTAATTAAATCACAGTGGGCGCCGTGAACATTATCACGTTATCACATATTTTGTGATTTTAAATATAGCAACACTTACATTGAATCTTATCTACAAATAAGGAGATTAATATAATTTACAAAACTGTATGTACCAACATACAGTACCTATAACACGGGAGCACTTAGATTGCACAACTCTGTAATAGCAATAAAATAATTATTTATATAATGTATCCGCATTAAATTAATAGATAGCGATCAATTTAATATGCACAGCGACCCGTCAACTAAATATTTATTACAATATTTAATAACAAACAAATACAGTTTCTTCTCCATCAGGAATAGGTATTCATCATTTCAAATACAGCTGATTTTTACACTGTTTCATTTTTGACTTGTTTATCAATTATAAACCGTAGAACATAAATTGCGTATATAATTATTAAATATTAAAAAAATTGTCATTAAAAGTTGCCAAGAGAATTAACTCCCTTATTCATAAAAACACCAGCCATTTTATATCTTTTCTACTTTTCTTTCAAACTATATCCTCCATTTGAAGAAGAGGTTTTTACTTTTCATGAATAAGGGGCAAGTATTTACAATATCACCTCAACCCAGTTAAAAAAATGAGTCCGAACAATAAAATAATATTACATATAAAAATGTCAGATTGAAATGTAAAATAAATAAAATCCACTGTCCAACTGCGGTTTGTGTTGAATTACAAATATAAATACAAACAACAGTTGGGCCAGCACAGTTCATGTCGCACCACACGCATCTACTGAGAAGCTCTGTAGCTCGGAGATATCACCGGCGGTGCACGGAGACATCACCGGCGGTGCACGGAGACATCACCGGCGGTGCACGGAGACATCACCGGCGGTGCACGGAGACATCACCGGCGGTGCACGGAGACATCACCGGCGGTGCACGGAGACATCACCGGCGGTGCACGGAGACATCACCGGCGGTGCACGGAGACATCACCGGCGGTGCACGGAGACATCACCGGCGGTGCACGGAGACATCACCGGCGGTGCACGGAGACATCACCGGCGGTGCACGGAGACATCACCGGCGATGCACAGCAGCAGCGCCGGCTCGAGCCGCCCGGAACAGTCCGTTGGACATGGCCACCACCGGCGAAAACAGCCGCAACGGATACTCACTGCCGGCCAAAATCACGTTCATACGGTAACACATAACAACAGCAAATACAGCCAGATTACTCCAAAATATGATAGTCCAAGGAATCGTTAAATAGAAACTACTCATATTAGCAATGAACTAAACCAGTGTTGGTCAAAAGTTGATTTGTTTGACGACTAAAATTAATAATTAAAAATCAAAAGCTAAAGATTATGGTATAGATATAGTAGAATATGGTAAGTATTGATTAACCATCAATAAATAAAAAAGAAGTCGATATTATTAAAATTAAAAATATTTATCGTTACTTTATCATCATCTACATAACCATCATCATCGACATCAGGATTATCTTCATTATCACCATCATCGTCATCATTATCACCATCCTCGTCATCATAATCACTATTACTACTATCATCATCGACCGCGTCATCATCAGCACTGCTTACAGAAAGAAGTGAGATAGTGGTAGCCATGCAAACAACTTTATACAATATGTATTTCGGTCAAGTCACTTTTATGTACAACTGAAAAATGTAAGTTTCGTAAATTCCTTCAAAGAAGATATTCAAAACCTTACACAGCTTACAGTGCCTTTAAATTGATGATTAATTAATTAATTGATTAGTTTATTAATCAGACCATAATAAGTTAATGATTATGATTAGCGATTAACGTCAGTAATCATGATTACGATTGCTATTTAAACCTGATTAGTTTAATCAAAATTTATAAATTATTAAATAATAAGTGATACCCTGAGAGCGTTAAAAATTAGCACAGGTAGAAGCAACTTTACATTGATCATCATCATCATCATCGCAGCCCGGAAAACGTCCACTGCTGGACATAGAGACCCCTAAAGATCTCCACGACGATCGGTCCTGCGCTGCTCGCATCCAATGCCTTCCAGCGATTTTGACCAGATCTTCGGTCCACCTTGCTGGAAGCCTTCCTATATGCGTCTTCTGGTCCGCGGTCGCCACTCGAGGACTTTATTGCCTCAACTTTCCATTATCATGCATTAAAATAATAAATGAACCAACCGTTACATACAAAAGTTAATAAAGATTGTAAAGATAACTGACCTGCCTATGACGGGGGTGGCCTCGTTGCCACTCAGAATGAACACGGGGAAGAATATCGAGAAGACGCAGCCACTGCAACAATATAACTTATAATATTTATCCGTCACCAAATTTAAAAAAGCAAAAAACAGTGGTTCTCCAATTTAACATGTTGCCTTATTTTTATGGTCACTGATTCGACTCCCGCACAACATTAATTATCATTACATAGTATTAAACAAAGTCGCTGTTGCTGTCTGTCCGTCCCTATGTATGTTTAAATCTTTAAAACTACGCAACGGATTTTGAATCGGTTTTTTTTATAGATAGAGTGATTCAAGAGGAAGGTTTATATCAGGGATGTTATGGATATGAAATTTCGGATACGGAGAGAGTTTGGATATAGGAATGACTACTATAACGGATACGGATACGGATGCGGATATGAAATTATTTCGGATTATCCGTTAGTTTCGGATAATTTCGGTTACGGATATTATTTTTTTAAGGAATTTCAAAAGTAAATTACAAATAGCTAATAAAATGGTTATATAACGTGTCTCTATTAGGCTCCGCCCCTATCCGATATTATCCGAAACTTTTATTTCGGATTCAGTCACGATTATGAATATTTTTTTATATTGGATATCCGATAGTTTCGGTTTACCGAGCTCCCTAACATCCCCCGTTTATATGTATAATATATGTACATCGGGGTGTAATATCAGTTATATAATAATACTAGATGGCGCTAAGCTTGTTGTAATTGCAAATCTTATATATAAAATTCTCGTGTCACAGTTTTCGTTCCCATACTCCTCCGAAACGGCTTGACCGATTCTCATGAAATAAAAACGCGATCGAAAAGTGTATTAAATGTACGTAAAGATACTGTGAGTACAGTTTGCCGAGATGAATATCGAGCGAGTTCCAGTAGTAGCAACAAACGAAGACGTGTGAAGGTAGACGCATATGTCTGGCCATAAACATTTATTTAACATCTACCCGCTGCTCTTCAGTTTACCCGTGATCATGGTGGTTGAAACACTGTCGAAATATTGGGAACTCGGCAAATAAATATAAAACGTGATAAGATCCCGTGATTTTTACTAATTATACGTATAAATAATGACCGCGTCAAGTTTAAAACAGTAGATAGACAGAGTGACTTTCACATTTATAATATTAATAAGAATAAGGATAGGATTCCTTATATGACTATTATAACGATGACCATAAAGACTTATGAGGACCCACTGCACTGTGCTAGCTAACATACCGAGATTTCATATTTAAGATGCTCTTATGTTGTTGAAAACATTTACTGTAATGTTACTATTATGTTATCCTACACAGTTTGTATTGTTTTGGATGAAGAAATAAAGATAACACAGGTAAGTACCTTATAATATAGGACTCAGGTATCTGCGTGAGGACGGCCAGTGGCAGTCCAAAGCCGAGGAAGTACGGCCAGTTGGTCTCGATGAATGTGAGCCGCTTGTGCAGCTCCCAGCCCATGTTGAACCACTTGTACTCGAAGGAGTACAGCGAGTACAGCAAGCACATGTGCACCAGGCACAGCAACTCGCCCACGTATGCTATTGGCAACATATTCACCAACATACTCTGCCCATGTAACACAACATACCATATATAGATAGATAATTGATTTATTGCCAACATAACACAAATATTACAGTTTACAATAACACTAAGATGTACATCTAGTTTTGGTTCAACAAGAGTACACTTTGCAAGTATTTCATAGGTGAAAATAAAACAAGTAAAAAATTTATTTTATTTTAAAAACATATTTTTCGTCGGAATGGATTTTTATTTGCTAAATGTGGAAGTTCGTCTAATAATGTAATCACCTTCGAACAACTTTCATTTTGCATATTAAATTTGAGTTAAGACGGCAGATAATGTTTTTACAGAAAGTGCTGCACTGCTCCAATAATCATTCCCTAGTGGAAATAGATATATAGATAGATAGATAAGTTCTTTATTCAACAATTACAAACACATAGCATACATGAGATACATTTTATAAATAGAAATAAAGTTTACAAATGCCCCGCTAGCGTAAAAGTTAGCGCAGGCGGATGCACCATTACATACATACATCATACATAAATCATAAAATAATATATCTATGAAGTTACAGTGCATACATAATTTATTTATAATTACTTTATATAGGGCCAATTATAAAATACGAAGTAGATAAATGACGTAGTTCTGATATAAAATAACATTAAATTCAAAAATCATTTATTCATGTATGCATTTTAGCAGCTTAAGAAAGTATTTTTTTATATTACACTGTCCAGTTCAGTATACAGATTTCATTGAGAAAAACTGTATACTGGCAAGAAACTCAATTCAATTACTTTTTTTTTAAAGCCAGTTTATTTACAATGTATATTTATATAGGTGTCTATGTGTAACATTAAATGAAAATCCCGTGCATGAACAACTATTGCCATGCAAGCTCCTCATTTAAATAATCAATTAGTGAGTAATATAATTTAACAGATGTTTAAATTTATTTAAGGGTAATTCAAGTATATCCTTAGGTGTCTTATTGTAAATTTTTATATCTAAAAAAAATGCATATAATATAAGTAACGCTTGAGAATTTGTCCTTTTTTGTAGTGAGAATTTTATCACTACAAAAAAGGACAAATTCTATAAGTTTATATCATTAAAGTGTGGATATAGACTATGTTTACTAAAGAATGTAATAATCACCTGAACTAAAAATAAAGCTTGCACCAGCAAACTGAACAGTGAGTCTGCAATAATTTTGCTCACACTGGACATAAACTGCGGCCGCCCGCGTCGATGCCGGTACGCGGAGTCGGCTATGTCCTGCACATTTCATACATACATAACAATTATTATAATATTCGACAGCCTCGGTGGTCTAGTGGTTTAGAATACCGCTGTACTATCCGATGGTGGCGGGTTCGATTCCCCGCAAACATTTATATTCATGAGTATGATTGTTTGTATCGGTCTGGGTGTTTTCTATGTATAATATGTATTTATTTAAAAAAAAAATGCATCCAGGTATTTATGGACTTGCTTAGCTTGGGACTAGATAGCGTTGTGTGAATTGTCGTGAGATATTATTATTATTATTATATATATATATAATAACATAATTATTATTATTATTATATATATAATATAATATAATATTAATAATAACATACATCTAAATCTCTATCAAGTAACCTAAGTGTCATTGTCATATTTTTTAATTTTTTTAATAACAAAATAATGACACTGAGCCATCTAGTCCCAAGCTAAATAGAGTTTGTACTAGATAACTGATATAAATACTTACATGCATTTTGTTTTAAATACAAACATATTATACCTATAAAGCACCCAGGATAAACAATTATACTCATATATGTTAAGTTTGCACCATGCAAATTCAAATACAAATTCAAAAATCATTTATTCATGTATATTAGCCGCTTATGAACGTCAAATTTTTTTTCCCTACCGTACAGTCAAATCAGCAAGAAATTGAATCAAAATACTAAAAAATATAATACAATTTCATAGATTAAGAATATAGTGATATTTTTTTAATAAATTACTAAACGTATATAGTATTATTACAAAGTACAATTATTCTAAATCTAAAATAATTTTTTTTTACTATCCTTTCAGTTTCCTTCCTGTTTTTAGTCCATAAACTTTTTAAAATTATAATCATCAATGCATAGTACTCATTTAATTTGTTTCTTATAAAACTTAAATGAAATGTACACTTACTTGAAACCATAAACTATTGACTAGCTTGCTCAGCAAGAACAGTGGTAGCACCCATATCATCCTGAAGGTCATGGAGAGGAACGGCTTCATCCAGCTCCACACATTGTGAGCCACGCCGGGGTCGTGGCCAAACACAACTGTCACTAAGTACTTGACGGCCGGCAACAGTACATACTCAAATACGAGTATACTGAGCAGAAATATAAACCCATTGAGTATACACGACTGCAGCACCCTTGTAAGTACTTTGGATTCCCTGAAATTTGTGTAATTTATTAAGTTGCCAGTAATCATAATGCATTACAAATAATCACTCTTAATACATATCAATGTAACGTTCATACTTCTTCATCCAGCTATCTACACATATAAATAAAATTGTAGTGTCTGTTTGTAATATTGAAATAACCGTTTAATACATACATATGAATATAAATACGGTACATATATCAAAATAATATTTTTTACTATTTTTGTCTGTCTGTCTGTTTGTTCCGGCTAATCTCTGAAATGGCTTGACCGATTTTGACGGGACTTTTTTTGGCAGGTAGCTAATGTAATAAGGAATAACTTAGGCTACTTTTATTTTAGAAACATAAAGTTAAATTCCACGCAGACGAAGTCGCGGGAACAGCTGATCAGTCATAAGAACACTGAAAGTTTAAAATACTAGTGTAGCTACTGATCTACTTTTTCTTTTTATGTAAATATATACTTTCTTAATTTGCAAAATGGCACAATACCATACATTATTTTTAAACAGCTCAGTACAAAATATTTTGTCTTATGACTCGCTGAAGTGCAAGCAAATCCACAGTAAAAAATATCAACTAATGCATAATAATATCTTATATATAAAATTCTTGTGTCACAATGTCAGGTACCATACTCCTCTGAAACGGCTTGACCGATTTTATGACATTTTATATGCATATTCAGTAGGTCTGAGAATCCGCTATCTATTTTTCATACCCCTAAGTGAAAAGGGTTGTCCACCCCTAACATTATTGTTTAATTTTTTGGGCAAAACAATGTTTGCGGGTACAGTTAGTAATACCTATATTTAATCATTATATTCATAATTGTAATTATATCAAGTGCCATCTATTTATAGCTATCTTAATCAATAAATTACTGAATAATGCATATCATACAATTAGGTACCTAAGGATTTCATTACATACATTTTACATAATCATAATAAATTGAAATATATACAACTACAATGTACAAATTTGTAGAGAGTGTGGGTATTTTCATCATCATCATCATCAGCCTGTGTCTATCCCCTGATATAGGCCTTTCCCAAAGACTTCCACCATATGCACTCTTCCGCATCCATCCACTCCCACCACCAATACATAGGGGGTATTTTAGTCACTATGATTTTGAGGTTAAAAGGATTGCTCAGTATTTATTCAAAGGCAGCACCTGTTGATGGGATGTGACAGAAATCGAGCAGAGAGGGAACTACTTATTAAAACTTTGAAAGTCAACAAATTGATGTGGTCACTATTCAGAGTATACAGTCAACCCCAGGTAATCCGGCCACCCTTGTAATCCAACATGGTCTATTATTTATTATTGAATATTTTTTTTACAATCTTCGCTAATGCATGACAAGTTAGAACAAGTTTGAACTTGTATGCATCACCAATGTTGTCCTATTGTTCTGATTATGATTGCTTAGTTTCAATTTGACTACTTACATATGATGAAGACAGTGCAGTATAGCACATGTTCATTGTTTACTGTTTATTCATTGTGTATTACATGTCAGGTCAGAAGCGAGAGCACAAAACACTGACTATTACAGAAAAATGTGATATTTTAGACCATCTAAATTGTAACGAGTCTTTTAGTAGTTAACATATATAATGAACTATGATTTGTAGGTACTTCAGAGTGCATATATAACATATAGAATCTTATCACTGAATTTGTAATTTGTTAGATTACATGGTACTCTATTGTAAAAAATCCAGACTATAGGGGACCTAATATTTTTACAAATAGAATGGAGAGAAAAGAAAGTTATATCTTTTTAATCTAAATAATAGCATTGCAGTAACTATAGAAATATATTCAATAGTAAAAATATAACAGAACCTTCTTCTAGAACGAGAAAGAATTATTAAAGAAAGAAGTACAGTGATAATACAGATGAGAAGCAAAATGTTTGGTATTGTATACATGCTATGTCATGTAATGTATGGTTAATGACCCACGTAAATTACAATTTTAATTACATAATTACAGTACAAAGTACAGAAATAATGATTTGAAGACTCACTGGTTCACTTTCGTCTGTTTTTGTCTGGATTGTGTGTTTCCGGAGTCTACTCGCGGCGAGCGACTCAGTGCCTTCTCATTTATTTCTTTATCTAAGTATAAAAGTACAGTCACTCCTCGTAAACTGTCTATGAAGCCTTTAATTAGTGACACGGAGAAATTCTGTAAATTTTAACAATAAACATAAAACATTTTGTTTGATCAATAACAAACACAAAGAACAAAGAATATTGTTAGAAAAACTCACTGTTATACTTTCCATTTTGTGCCCTTGCCCGCTATTTCGTTATCTATTACTTCATTGTTACAAAGACATAATTTATCAACTTTATTCACATCTTTTGTTTAATTTCAATTGACATTTATTTCTACAATCTGTTGGTTGGTTGAAAGTTTACGTCACATTCATATACTTACACACAATTACGATTTGACGTTTTATTGACATGGACAGCTGACATCAAATAACACATAATCTGACATTCAGTGTTACCAAAAACTGTTCTATCTTGTTAATTAGAATAATTTAGGATTTTATATCCGTCGACATAATTGTATTCATTAATATTTTTTTATAAGCTGGTCTTACTTATCAGTATATATGTAACCTGTAATTATAACTTTAAAATGCTGATTTATTCCGGTAAATTTAATAATATTCTATCCCTAAAGGTATTAGTCTTTATTTAATCTCTGTTTTCTCGATAGTCTGTGGTATTCTTGTTTATTACCTGTGTGATGTGATACGTGAATTTTATGAAACAAATAAATATAACTCGATTTCTTTATACTTTAAATTAATTAATAGATCTAAATTGTTAATTTCTCGATTATTTAATCTAATGAAGTAATCAAGATGGACAACTCTTACATTCTCAATAATCTAAGGTTAGTACTTTATACTCACGAATGCAAATACTACCTACTTAATTTATCGTTGACCTCAAAATCATACGTAAATAATACTAACTATATCTTGCAATAACAACATATATTTTGTATTATTTTGAATGACTAATATCTAAAATTAGTTGCCATTTAACTCTCATGCTACATCTGGATCTGTTTAAGTACCTACTTGTTATGTAGTCAACAATTTATAAGTAGGTACTAAGTTTCCTAGAAAGTTGCCCTGCCGCTTCTATCTAGGCTTACTATGTAGAGACATGACGAGTGTCTGGACTGGGGTCATACATATACTGCTGTCGCTGTAAACATGCTGTACTTGTGTAATTAATATTTTGTGTTACAATACAACAAAGTCTCCACTGACCAAAATAGATTCTTTATTTTAATAGACTCTTTGTTTCTCAATTAATGCAAGTTTTCATATTACGTCCATTACTCGAAGTTGTTTATATATCAACATTTGTAGGAGTCTCCATTATTATTATAAAGTATTTAACATGACTTCAAAAATATTAAAAAGTATATTATTTTATTATAAACTTAAAACTGAAGGTTTATTTAGATAATATGAATAAACAGTTTAACAACATCACTATTGAAGTTAATTCCTAGAATTCTAGTTGTATAAATAAGATAAAAATCCTCTATTAACTATAACTATAATGCCATAACAACAAAACCACACCTTAAATGGTTTTACTTCCTGTAAAGTTGTCTTCTAAGACACAAAGCAAGATTAGAAGAGGAAGTTGTTGTAATGTACATAAATATTATAGATATAAATTGTTCTTAAAATAAAATTAATGATGAATTATTTAAATTTGAATTGTAATAAAACAGTATGAAAGATTAATTTTGTATAAAATTTATATAATTTATTTGTTTAAAGAGTTCCATAACTAAAAGATATGTTATGACCTCATTTATTCATCTGTCACTTGCTAATAGTGCTGTAAGTCTGAACTTTTCTATACAATTCAACAATTCAATCCAATACAATATGAGTGTAGTAGAAATAATCTTTATTCAAATACACTTAATATAAGGACTTTTGAATAGTCATATGTTTTTACTCTACTATTCATTGGGTACTCAGATTCATTACAAGAAGATGTATTATAAAACTTACATGTTGCGCTTTAATATTTAATAAAAAATTATATTTTTTCTAAGTAAATACACATTACCAAGGATCAGCCATGCAACAATCAACATAGAGACAATACAAACTGAAAAACTACTATTTAAATATTATATACACATTTCTATTTGAAAAATGTGAACTTACAAGGATTATTTAAAAGAGCAACACACAAGTTTCTTGCTCATTCTTCTTGTGTTGAGACAGCTTTCCGAATGAGAGGTAGATTAAAAAAGTATGACTTTTTAAAATGGCTTAAATTAAGTTTATTTGAATAAAGTATTTTCTATTCTATTCTATAATATGTATGTTCCAATTTCTATTTCTTGGAATGGACATTATCAGTGTCATAAAATTAATAAATTAACATACCTAATGGGCAGCTAATCCCTAATCATTGAGACCTTGAGTTGCAACATTCAATATGATAATGTCTCAGTTAACCATATTATTTGTTGGCACTTATCATTATTATTTACCTACCAACTAAATTAAATTAAATGTGGTAAAAGTTACGAAAAGTTTATTATTTACCTACCAACTAAATAAAAATGAGAGCAATGTGGTAAAAGTTAAATAAAAGTTGAACTGTAAAGTTTTTCAGCCCCTTTTTTTAATATTATGAATGTAATTCCATTCAATTATTACGTAAGCACTATGGGGAGGATCTTTACTTTGCTTATTTTGGGCACATAGACGGTGATTACGACTTCACTAGTTGTATACTTTTTTCACGAATGACAACCCTCACATTGTCTTTGTTAAAAAACAAGACATTAATTGAAAAATGTTTACATAATTATGGGGGGAGGGGGTAAGAACTTTGTTTACCTTGCTGACAAGGGAGATGGGGGGGGGGGGGGGGAGCGGGGTAAATAATTGTAATTAATCTGCTTACGTAATACTTAAACAGCCCCTAAGTTTAAATGCTTGTTGTCTGTCTAGACGCGTCTTGAAAAAGTTTTAAATATCTTAAATATACAAGTTACAAACATAGGATACTTTAAGGGTATATCAAAGTTTTTCTTAGTATGTATGTATGTATGTGTATGGAATGGTGCACCCGCCTGCGCTAACGATTTACACTGTCGGGGCACCAGTGGAAGATGATAATATGAGCATGAAGTCAGGACATTTAGCCCATCGTGACAAAGTCACGAAGAATCTATCATGGTTCCCAGGGAGAACCGCGTGGTCATCCCGACATGGTACATTGCTAGCAATAGGTTCAACAGACCACATTGGTAATAATCCCCTTCCCCCCGTATATCAATATTAGTTAAGGGTCGGCAACGCGCATATGACACCCCTGATGTTACAAATTCAAACTCAAAAATCATTTATTCATGTAAGTCATTTTAGCCGCTTATGAACGTCAAGTTTTTTATATTATAATTTTTTCCCTATCGGCAGGCGTGCAGGCGTTACTGTACAAAAGTAACTGTATACCATCAAATGGGCCGTATTTATTTATTTAATTAACACAATATAAACTTACAGCTAATTGCCAACAGGTTTATATTTTAAAATTATTTTTACTACTTAAACTATATAATGATAAAAATATTCTTATTTTATTTGGATGTGTATCTTGGACCTTACCTAAAAATAAATTTAATAATTGCAATGCTCTCATAGTGGGAGTATTGCTAGCGTAGCTTGTGTGTACCGACGCGGTTGCAAACAGTCGAACACGACTACGGGTGACGCTTCTCACGTAATTCGGTGGAATATTGTATGCTTCATTACCATAATTTCACGTGTAACGTCGCAAGTTGTAGCTAGTGTCTCATCAATCTAGTGTAGTTGTACCTACCTATTATCGTACATACCTATCTGTTGAGTAATCAGACTTAATCTACCACACGGAATAGGCTTAAGGAGGTTTAGTGGGTACCAGGCGGTGGTTGGTGGCTGCCCACTATCAGTTATTGTAAGCCGCTCGAATATATCTCAGCTTAGCTGTTATCTAGCGACAAGAACAGGGAGCGAAGACGTAGCTCTCCCTTAAAATGGAACTTGAAGCGCCACGTACAGCAATAGTCTTTGTAACATTAAAATAACGGCGCGGAAGGACTTATGGAGGCTGAAGGCCACTCCCGCCTGACGGATACAATGGTAACTCCAGCTTCTTCATACCCATTCTTAAGCTTGTAGTTCGTTCTGGCACACTTTGTCTCCATCTGACCAACCAAAGGTTTAAACTTTTTTACTTGGGAAAATAAGTCATGCATATACAGATGTAGTTCTACCACTTATTACTCGAGAGCATTCTCCAGCAGCTCTGACAATGTAAACTAACGCAACTAAGTCACTGCATGATCCAGTTGCTCAAACAGTAACTAATGTGCGGTCAGCCTTAAGCGCAAAGTTCAGTAACTCATTAAAAGTATTAATCAACAACGTCACAACGGCACCGCGCCGCCCGCGCCACAAAGGAAGCTGCCACACTCAGTTCGCGGCCGCTTGTTGCGCGAAGCACGCGCATCCACTCACCAGTGTGACGTGACCTAGTGGGTGACAGATAGTTATACACCAGCCATGAAAGTGGACAACGAACTGAACCAGGCGGCGCCCGCCGACACTAAACCTATTGTGGCCGACAGGAACGGCAGCCACTGTCTGCTGAACATCGTGCCCGCGCAGCCCAAGACCCTCACCCACCTGCCGAAGAGACCGCCGGTGGACCTGGCCTTCACGGACCTCACATACAAAGTGCAAGAAGGAAGAAAGAGCAGTAAGTCTCATTTTACATTTTTACATTTATCATTTTTCTAGAATCAAATATTCACATTTTGTTTACGAATTGTAGTTTCTTTGTTTTCTTTCTTTATTGTGATTGTAGAACGTGTAATTAATAAATACGGATGCATGGTAGGTATATAGAACGTCGTCAAGTACAAAACAAGATATACATTATCTGACTCTAACGATGTCAAACTATTTAGTTAATTAACGCCTTCACCTAAGTTGATCTATTATGACCTCAATATTGCATTGAAGACATTACAATGATTTTTAAACAAACGTAGATAGGATGTTTCAGCTTGACTGCCCTTCTATATAATTATTTATGACGTTTCTTTTTTTTTATTTTTTTTTCAATCTCAAAACCGTTTATATTAATTAGCTTTATAATATTACTAGCTCTATTCGCACGGGTGTACATGTATAATACATATAAAACTTCCTCTTGAATCACTCTATCTATTAAAGAAATAGCTTCAAAATCCGTTGCGTAGTTTTAAAGATTTAAGCATACATAGGGACGGACAGATAGCGACTGCGACTTTGTTTTATACTATGTAATGATTATTTGCACAATTTCACCCACTCAACACTTCCTCGCTGTATTGGGTTGACTGGAAGAGATCTCTTTTAGAGATAAGTCCTCGTTTGTTAACATTATTTGGGTATATGTATGTATTTACAAAAAAAAATATCTATATACTTGTATCAGTTATCTAGTACCCGTAACACAAGCTTTAAATAGCTTAACTTGGGACTAGATGGCGCTGTGTGAATTGTTCTGAGATTATTATTATTATTATATATAAGAAAATGTATTTAAGTGCAATATCGTAGTCAGGTTTTATATTCCGTATGTACGCCTAACATAATGTACGATTATGTAGATTTTATTGAACTTTGTTCCTATTATCCACTAGCTGTTCCCGTGACTTTACCCGCGTGGAATTACCTTTATTTTTTTTAAATAAAAGAGTGTTTCTAAAATAAATGTAGTCTAAGTTACTCCTTATTACATTAACTACCTGCCAAAGAAAGTCCCGTCAAAATTGGTCCAGCCATTCCAGAGATTAGGCGGAACAAACAGACCGACAGACAGACAGACAAAAATTGTAAAAAAAAATTATTTTGGTGTTATGCGTGTAGTAAAAAACGGTTATTTCAATATTACAAACAGACAGTCCAATTTTATTTACATGTACAGTTACAACCAAGCATACATCCGCGCATTTTCATTAATATGTAATTACACGTAGAAAATGTTTTTTTCCACGTGCATTATAGTATGGACTGTAACGTTAAACGCTGCGAAGAATCTGTGCAATAGTGTAAAAATTGCAAAAGTGCGGTTTTGCAACTCGTACGTTAGCGATCTGGCTAGGATCGTCCGCCTCACTAATTACAACATGGCACAACACACGTAAGACTATGTAGTCTTGCGAATCTTGCGCAGACCTCTATAGTTTACGCTATTTACACAAATACAATATTCAATACTAGCTACTCGTCCCGGCTCCGCACGGACATGTATTCTATATAAAAACGTTCCACTCGAATCATTCTATCTATTAAAAAAACCACTTCAAAATCCGTTGCGTAGTTTTAAAGATTTAAGCATACATAGGGACGGACAGACAGCGACATTGTTTTATACTATGTTATGATATGTATGTTTTGGACGTATACTTTTAACCTACTTCGATTAAACAATGAACCAAAATATGGCTTATTGAAATTTGTGGTAAAATATTGGTGAAAGTGATAACCGTTTTAAAGTAAACAACATATGTATATCTTCGACAACATTCTAGTACATTATATGTATATATATTCAGTCAGTGGACGTCTTCCGGGCTGCGATGATGATGATGATGATGATTCCAGTATATAATGGCATTCAACATATCTTCGACAACATTAACGTCTATTAATGATAATGTATTACCTAAATAATCCGTAAAATTGTATGTTTTTATTGTTTTAATATATATATTTTAAACTAAAAACAAATATAATATAAAAATAATTTAATTACATTATTCATATATCATATTTTTGTATAATTTTTCCTATGTGAGAATATTGGGTAACTGTAAGGCTCGCTTAGTTTTGATGTCAATAAATCATTACATGGTATAAAACAAAGTCGCTGTCGCTGTCTGTCCTTATGTATGCTTAAACTTTTAAAAGTGCGCAACGCAAAATTTTGAAATGTTTTTTTAATAGATAGAGTGATTCAAGAGGATGGTTTATAGGTAGGTATATATATACATATATATTTATTATATCGTACAAAATTCTTACTAGATAGTAATATAGAAATCTTTATATTGCTACACGATTTAATGAAATCCTGTACTTAGGCAGTGTTAATATTCGTTAATAACAACTAAGTACCTGTCAGTAGCCTTCATCTGTTGAGTTCGTCGACCGGTTCCAATTAAGAAGGCATCAAATCAATCGACTTATGACTTCACAAATAACAAGAATCTCGTACATTTATCAATGAATAATAACACAAGTACAGATATATTCAAATTCAAAATATCTATATTCATGTAGGTCTATTACAGACTCTTATGATATGTTAAATCTACAGTCAGTTCGGAATGATTTCGAGATGAGAAGAACTGACAAGAAACTCAACTCGTATTCTTTTCAAATTTATACATGTTTACAATAATACAGATTTATTTTTAAATTCATATTTGGGAGAATAGAGTGACCGTAATTGTAAAATATATAAATAAATATATGCTATTGCAAAAGCAAATAGTCTAATCAGTGTTCGCAACCCAAACAGACCAGTCCCCACAAACAGCACCCGTTCATATATATGTCATATACCAAACTTTGCAGACAATGATAAACTTTTCAATTAATTCAATGAACTCTAGTTAATGTAAAACATTATCAAATTATAATACACTAGTGAACCGTCCCGATTTCGCACGGCGGTTGCATTACAAATCTTTGAATTTCATGGATTGTTCTATACTATAACACGAATGTATTATACATATAAATATTCGTATTGTATCACTCTATCTATAACTGATAACTGCATTAATATCCGTTGAGATATTAATGCAGTTATCAATCATCATCATCATCTACTTCTTCCTTATCCCATTTACTTGTGGTCGGCGTAATATGTTTTTCGCTTCCATTCATCCCTGTTCGCAGTCATCTCGTTATTTACTTCCTTTCTTACCATATCATCTTTCACACAGTCCATCCATCTCTTTTTCGGCCTCTGCCCTATAAGAGCACCATCCACATTCATTTGTAACATCTTTCTTACAATATTATCCTCGTTGCTACGCATTACATGTCCATACCATGATAGACGATTACTCTTCAACCTCTCTGACACCGGCGCCATTTTCATTTATGCAATGCAGTTATCAATATTAAATATAATAATAAATATTAATAAAGTTAAAAGATATAAGAGAACAGTACTAAGATTAGTTCCCAGTTAGTAGTGATCTCGGTTTAAATAACTATTATTAGTTATTTAAACCGAATATTATAATTTTGTGGATCCTTTAGTAGACCTTTATCCACTAAATCAGACCTTCAAATATATATAATAACTAGCTTTTGCTCGCGGCTTCGCTCGCGTTAATTTATCCCTTTAGGGGTAGAATTTACCAAAATCAATCATCAAAACAACATCTACCTGCATGCCAAATTTCAGCCCGATCTGTCCAGTGATTTGGGCTGTGCGTTGATAGATCACCATGTCAGTCACCTTTGAGTTATATATATTTAGATTTAGATAAATTTTATACTATGTATAAAAACCTTAAAGAATTATACACCGAAACCTTCCTCAGGAACTAGTCTATTGATTGATGAAAACCGCATGACAACCGTTACATTCCGCTGCAGATAGACTGCGAATTGTTTTATTCTAGTTTGTATGTTTATAGAAGCAATAAATAAAAATCGTCGGTAAAGCAAAACTGCATAACCCAAATAATGAACGATTGCAAAATACATTTGGGTTTATTGACCGGCCTGGTAGCTGTAAAGTAAATCTACTTACCTACTTGATATATTTTTTACTAGCTGTACCCGCGACTTCGTCCGCGTAATGACCCTATTAAAGCCAAATAAAGTCATCGTTTTAGCGTCGACAATGACGAATTAACGTAAAAAGTTTCACCTCCTATTTTATTTTATCCTCTTAAAGGTATTTTTTTTTTACAAACTTTGTAATATTCATATTTAATCAACAGCCTCAAAAATAAGTTTCAAGCTTCAAAAGTGACGATTCTTCCATACAACTTTTCAACCCCCCTTTCAACCCCATGCAACCCTTTTTACGCATTATAAAGTAGCCTATGTCCTTTCTCAGGGTCTAGGCAATTTGTGTACCAAATTTCATTTAAACAGTAGTTTTGACGTGAAAGCGAGACAGACAGACAGACTTTCGCATTTATAAATAAGTAAAGTAAGAATTAAGTAGGGATTAGTAAAGATAAGGATTTATTCTACAATCCAATGAGTAATGAGTTCTTAAAAATATTGCGAGATATTGGAATTATTTTCCGTAATGAATGCACGATGGAAGTGATGGAGATATTCAGTGGATTACAGATATACAGCAGTAAATATAATTCATTCTCGTTCCGACCAGTTGCACGTTACATATAAACTGTTAGTTAGCAACATTACTTATTTTAAATGTGATGGATTATTATACCTTTTTTTCTTAAATCAATGTGCTTAATACGGTCCCTTAATCCATTACATTTAAGACACTCTACATTTAAATAACATACATAATATAAAACAATATACAGACGAGTAAACAATAGAACTATAGTAGCAAAAAACATTTACAAAATTAAAGCTGTTAAAATAATAATGACTAATTTTAGTCGGACCTATACCGATTACAGATATAAAGCAGTAAATATAATATGTTCTGGTTCCGATCAGTTGCATATAAACTGTTAACTGTTAGTTAACAACATT